CGGAACGTAAATAAACAAACATCAAATCGGTATATGTATGTGTTTCTAATGGACTGACGCGAACCGCCGCGCCGCTCCGCGCCGGCCGTGAAAATGTTCACTGAAGAACTTTTTAAATAAAGCGCAGTCTACAATAACTACAATATATCTCTTTTTATTTTTTTTTTAGGTCATCATACAATATGGTTTTATCTCATACGAACATATTTTATATATAAAAACCGCTATAAGAACTGTTTTGTTTTACCCAGCTTTATGAAAATGCAACATCGTATTAGATTTTAAAGTTTATTTTTTTAACAAAATACAGCAATGGGAACTTGGCATTAAAAATATATGTTTGTTGCTATTTTGTTATTATAATTAAAGAGTTTATAGTAACAAAATAGCTGGTTACCTTGATATAAACAGTATTACCAAATTCACTGAATGCGATTGTTGTGCCTTTTCGAGGCATGTTGAATAAATTTTAGATTTTTATTTTATCAAGAAATTGATTGTGTAATTGATTAATTAATTATTCATTGATTGTTACGTGATTAATAATAAATAAATAAATAAATAAATTATTTATTAAATTCATACAACAGCACTACTTACGCCCGTAACCCAAAGGGTTATATATAAATAGAAATTATTACACGATTAATTGCGTATTTTCTTTGTTTTTACAGCGAGGGATGATTCGCAGATCTTCGTGAAATTCTTCCGATTCCACCAGTGCTACGACTTGATCCCAACGTCTGCTAAGCTCGTGGTCTTCGACATCCAGCTCCTCGCGAAGAAGGCGTTCTTCGCTCTCGTCAGCAATGGTCAGTGACTGTGACTAGCAACTCGATGGATCAATTATAAACGTCTCTAAATGTGTATGTAATTACATGAATCATTTCTCTCTGCGTCTACAACGTGCGTGCGCATCTGCTGAGCTTCTGTTGCTGCTGTCTAGGTTGTAAAAAGCGGACAAAAATATAATATTAAACATCTCACCTAATGATAACTACAGCCATCGTCAATATCCATAAAAATATGTGATATTGGTGTGTTACCGAATTTAAAGTGTGTCAATCTATCAGTCTACCTGAATGTTTAAAAAATGTATTTTTTGTCGCTGCAGACATCGAAGGTCAATATACATTTTTACAATTGCACAAGAACAAAGGTATCTCAAATCAGATTTCCAGAATTTACATCAGACAAGGGTATCGGGTCATGCAAATAAGTAGCAGGTAACTCTGTCCCGATTACATTTGTATGGATATTGGTGACAATGATTGATCCAATGCGAATTTGTAAGACGCAAAAACATTTCCAGGTCATTGGAATATTCCATAAGTTTGAAGTTCTGGGCAATTTTATTGCGACTGTTTACATATTTTTATTTTATTACATATTAATATCGTCATTTGAATCTAAACAAAATGTAGCAGTCCTCGTTTAGTCTTTGACATGTTTCACGTTAGATGTTTAATTTTATATGTTTTTAAAAGTTTAATTAAGTGCGAAAAATATACAGTTATTTTAAACCATTTAGAAAATATACCTTATTTAAAAGTATTCTTGCTTAGCGAAATACAAGTTATGTCTCAATATTTTGTGAATACATACTCGTATGTATTGCTCCTGCTGTATTGACGATTGTTTTTGTATGTTGGGTTGATTTATTTGTAGCGAGTTTTTTTTTTAATCTAATTAGACAACTGTATACAATAAATTAATAAGCGAAAAAGAGAAGAAATGGTGACAAAACGTTAGATAAAATTATTGTATTCGTCGAGAATGCAATATTAATGTTTAAGATATTCAAATTTACAATTGCCATGGCGCGTTATACTTTTATAATTTCCTGCAGAGCCGCAATTAAGTTTCACTGTTACATAGTTTTTATACTTGCGATATCTTATAACATATGTAATTTTTTACTTCGGTTGTTTCGTTTTCTTAACAATGGCCGCGTATATATTTTATGAATTCCTAGATATTTACCAATATGGGTTTTATTTACAGGCGTTCGAGCTGCACCGCTTTGGGACAGCCAGAAAGGAAAGTTCGTCGGCATGCTTACGATCACTGATTTCATTAAGATCTTGCAAATGAACTACATGCATTCTGGCGTCGCTATGGAAGAATTAGAGAACCATAGCTTGTACACTTGGCGCGGTATGTACTATGTTTAATTACTAAAACTATGTTATTTCTTGAATTTTCTTTTCTACAGATTTTGGACTATGTTTTCTTCCAGACGGCTTTACTAAATTTCATCTAGATCTATACAGCAAACATCCATCCATTGGTCCAAACCTTCGCATTAATGTAATAAATTAATGTGATTTCATAATTTTAGTTGGACTATATTATTTATAAGTGTTGTTTCATGTGATAATTAATTTAATTTCCAGATCTACTGAACGATCTCGAGAAGCCTCTCGTCTCTATAACGCCAGACGATTCTTTGTACGATGCCATATATACTATAATACATAATAAAATACATCGACTGCCAGTAATAGATCCTGCAACTGGTGATGTCTTGTATATCATAACACATAAGAGGATACTCCGATTCCTTTTCTTATATGTAAGTTATTTGCTACTAACTGTTGCCCGCGACTCCGTCAGCACGGAATTAATTACAGTACTTAGTAGCCTATGTGTTCTTCCAAGCTATGTTATACATCTATGCCAAATTTCATCGAGAACGGTTCAACCATTTTAGAGATACCTTCAAACAAACATCCATCCAAATGTTCACATTTATAATATTGTTCAAGAGACAGACGTCACGATGCCTCTAAAGTGAAATTAAATACAACCCAATCAGCAAATTATTTTTGTCGCTATTTTCTCAAAGAAAATGTAAGAGATGGCAATATGCGTTATTACAACTCACCACATTGGTTGGTTCACACAGCAAACGGAAAGTACGCGAAACGAAAGTAGTTTCGCCTTTGATTCGCTACTAGTTCGTATCAAGACACTAATTTAAGAAAACTGTGTAGAACTTAAGCATATATTCCTCTCTACATACGCGTGTCTGTTTGAACGGTAACTCCTGAATTACGTGTCTTTTTTTCGTATGTATTAGAAGTATGGCGTCTCAGATACGCAGTATTTGTGCGGTTTATAAACGCAACGCGCAGTTGCGGTATACGTAATAACTAGTCAGCCACAGTCAACCGCAGTTTCGAATGCAAAAACCGCATCGGCATAGTATATAACTTATCATTTTGTTAATGACGAAAAATTCTTTGGTATATAGAAACTAAACGAGACATTTTGTTTGAAAATATCCTAGAAGAACAATAGCTGTCGTCAGAGTAAAATGTTTTTGACATTCTTTTGTGAATAACTACTAATTATTTTAGTCATTGTTCTCCAGCGGTTTTGTATTAAGCATTATTTCTTCTGAGATAGTACCCAGATAATTTGTATGGTGAAACTCAGTTTTGTTTTTAATCGAATTACCATTCAAAAGAATTTAATTTTTATATTTTAAAATGAATAAAATCCCAGATATAAGAATAACTTTAGATTTAATTTTTAAACAGTTTTTAAACACATTTTATGTGTCCAAAGAAATGTTTAAAGATTTAACTCAGTTTGCCCTTTAGAGTTCCATACTTGAATATTTATTTATTTTATACTCACGGTCGTCCGCGACTTTAGCGCAAAAAATAGCCTATAAGTACTTAACGCACAAGTCCCACCAAAAGTCGGTCTCGCAGTTTCGGATATTACCCGGAACAAACGTGTTGCAGACATACAGACAGATAAAAATAAAAAATACGTATTAACTACGCAACATGCTGTTAGGAAGTAAATCCGAAAATGAGCCAGTGTATTGACTCAACACTAGCCTCACTAAAATGTGGCCGTTTATGTCCCCTCAGTATTCATTCTGACACGGGGCTTTGTAACGAAAGCACGTCATTCGCGCCAAAGGATTCTAACTAATAATGACTAAAAATACATACTTTCGTTTTCATGTGTACGGAATATATTTTTTTTTTTGATATTAAACACAGACATGCCATTTTTATAAATATGCGTTTAGTATAGATTTAATTTGATTATATGTTTTAAATTTATTTGTAGATTAATGAATTACCGAAGCCGAGATACGTGAACAGTTTACTTCGCGATCTGGATATTGGTACAATGGATAACATAGAGACGGCTACAGAAGACACGACCATCATTCAGGCACTGCACAAGTTCGTTAACAGAAGAGTGTCAGCTTTGCCTGTTGTTGATAGTGAAGGACGACTTAAAGATATCTATGCGAAATTCGACGTTATTGTAAGTACATTCGGCTTTTTTTGGACCTTTCAACCAATAATATCTCTTAAGACATATTTCTTTTTACCTTTGGATAAGTCAATATTTACTTATTCAATTTTGTATTGCTAATATGCATTATTTCAAATTATCAATAAATATTTTTATGTTTTTTTGCTTCTTTAACATTTACCGTTGGTTTCTAAACCTAATGGAGTTTCAAACATATTTTTGTCTATGTTTTGTTAAAGATAATGACAGAGATGATGTGATTTATACAGAGATTTTTATGTGGAATTCAACAGTTAGTTGACTGAAAATTAAAAATTACCATATTTCCGAATTTATTTAAATTTCTAAATTTTGTATAGTAGACTTATTGACACTAAAATAAATCTACTAATTAGAAGTAATTCATACGATGTTTTATTCGATGTTTTTTATTTTGCAGAATTTGGCGGCAAAAAGGACTTACAATAACTTGGACGTGACCATAAAAGAGGCCAACAAACATAGGAACGAATGGTTCGAAGGAGTTTACAAATGCAAACTTGATGAGACGTTATATGATATTATGAAGAGGATTGTAAGAGCAGAAGTAAGTTCACATCTAGATTTATTTCCTTTGGTTTCCGAGCTAAAAATTTCAGTTTAAAACATATCGTCATCCATGTCATTATCTTTAAGGCAGACATAACAATATATTTTAAACTTGGAATTTAGTCTCGGAAACTTGCTATAAATTTTATTCGCGAATTAAATTATAATGACATCTATGATTTGTCATTGTAACTAAAACAGTTTTATTGCGCAGTTGCCTAAAATGGTGTCG